GAAAAGAATAACCTCGAATTATTAGACTAAATTTAATGGCGATCAAAGCCCCTCGGCAACAGCGCCTAATTAGATCGACGATAAGAATTTAACCCCAAAGAGTTACTTACTCTCTCAAACAAGAGATCAATTTTAGTAGTTCGGGATCGAATCCACAAGGAGGTAGAGAACCAATTAAATCTAATCAAGTAAATAATGTTAGGTTGGTTTTGAAGTAAATTGCAGTATAAGATTGAAGTAAATAGATAATAATGGAGTTCCAATCACAAATTTCTCTGGATCTTCACTTGAACACTAAAAATTGTAAAAAAAAAATTTTGTGGAAATAAGATTACAATAAATCTCTCTTTGCCTAAAACATCTTGGCAAAGTATAAATACTTAGGTAAAAACTTCTGAGGGGTAATCCTATAATTTGGTGAAGTTTGGGCTTCAAGTCAGCTGGATCACGAATTGGTCTTCTGCTCCTTCGATCGATATTTCAGAATGCATATTGATTGATTATAAACACTCAGTGTCGACCTCATGTGCTGGTCGATATCCAAATCGGGTGATTTCTTTAATTCTCTCTAAAATGCTACAAAAATTCGTTTTCTTTCAAAATACTCCCAAAACAATAAATATGATTAAAAGCCTCTATAATATAATAAATAGTTATAAAAACACTCATTTACCATGAATAAAAATGGGTCAGAATAATGTTATATCAATATGCACTCTATAATCTCAATCCATTTAAAAGTGAAAGTATAATGAGTGAAACAAAGAATATGTATTAAAGTCCCACATCGTGTTGTGATATGGTCCTTGGGAAATATATATTATGTATGGGCAATCCTCCACTCTTGAGCTAGCTTTTGGGTGTGAGTTATTCTCATCACTAATATGGTATCAGAGCTTATGGTTTGGTACATAATATGAATTCCCACATAAACATTTTCCTACCTATGTAGTCTGTAAAACTAGCCCATATTGCTGTGATATTTGCGAGATATTGGGTTTGAACTATTTCTTCTGGACCGTTCTCACCCACATCTTGAGGGGATTATTAAACTCCCACATCTTGTAGGGGCCTATTAAAGTCCCACATCGTGTGGTGATATGGTTCTTGGACAATATATATGTGTATGGGCAATCTGAAACACCCCGACCTGAAAATATTTAAAAAACATGTTGAAATTTCTAAGTAAAGATCTAACAAATTTTATCGGATGAATACGGAAAATTACTGTAACTTTGTCAATAAAATCAGAAACCAATTACGTAAAATCCATACTGTTACAATAAGATGGTTTGATCAAAACTCCTAAAACATTACTCCAAGTTAAAACACTATTTTCCGATGGCCTTTATAGCCTCGCACTCTGGTCCACATAATCAACCTTACCTGCATCCGTGAAAAGGAGGCATGAGTATACAAAACTACTAAATGAGGACGCTCAAAACCGCCCACATGCACTCAACAATCAAACAATAAAATTCAGTGTTCCATTCTAACAACCTAGCATTTCCATTCTATCAAACTAGCAGTTCGTTTCCATTATTTCTTGCCTAGCCATTTTACCTATTACTTATCCATTCTTATGCATCCAAAACGAGCAACCTATCATCCGGTTATCATTCATTTACTTTAAATGTTCCTAACATTTCGACCTAAGGGTCCACAACCTGCGGCCGTAGCCAAACATATCCTTGAAAATCATGCGTCCATCCCCATTCTACACACATTGAAATTTAGCCAATACTTCTGTCTGCTCAAATTATGTTTCTGTGATCATCCGTTCTTATTTTTGATACTTTTGAAATATCAAATTGCTTCTTTAATTTTCTAAACTAAAACCTTTCCTTCTTTCCGTCACGCTAACCTAATATCTGTTTAATCAAGATAACTCGACATCGATCCAACAAGTCCATTCCAAGAGCTTCTTTGAACCATTTATCTAGTAGCAAGATCAAACCATTAAATTTTTATGCACTCTCCACCATCTTTGAAACATCTTGATAAATAACATGCGGTTTGAAAATCTCCATGTATGGTGCTTGACCAAATCTGATCTCTTCCTCGAACCCATTCTTATGCGACTGAAAACTCCCTGCCACACAAGGAATGCGGCTTCTATAGTCGGACAAAGTTTGGCTTTCACCACAACGCCACTAACAAGTAGATCGATTACGTCCTTGCGTCCAGCTTGTGCATCCAGGGTACCACGTTCTACCAAGACCTCTACCACACACGCGTCCTTGTTGCACTTTCATTGTTCCATTCAGCTTCCCGTAAGTGTGCTACACCGCCATACGATCATCCAACACTTCATAATTCCAGGAGACATAAACTTCTTTCATTCTCGGCAATATTTATTTCAGCATCTTTAACAGTCCTAGCTAGCCCGGTCAATAACCATCAATCCATGTCGACTATTGCTTCGTACATTCTATCATCCTATCAACTCATTCCCTAACATTGACATATCTTGCTCCATCACACACGACTTTAAGCATACTACCTTTGTTGGCTGAACCAACCTGATACCTTCCTTGCCTACCCTTTGAAAAATCTGGCAGTCAGCACTTTGTATCCTTCATAAGACTTAGGTTAGTTTTCACTAACTTCCTGCAAACTCTTTAACACAAATTTTCTTAGCCATTTACTAAGCAGTCCAATCATAAACACATACCAAGAAATACCTCAGCAAAATCACACAACACATTCCTCGCTCGAGACATAGACCATCAATTCCTTTCCACCCATACCCACAAATCTCATTTTCGAAAACAGCCTGCCATGATAGAATTGGCTGGCCAACCCCGCTCTGATACCAAATTGAAACACCACGACCCAGAAATATTTGAAAAACACGTTGAAAATTCTAAGTAAAAATTTGACCAATTTTATCGGATGAATACATAGAATTACTGTAACTTTGTCAACGAAATCAGAAAACAATTACTTCAAATTCATACTGTTACAATAAGATTGTTTGATCAAAACTCTTAAAACATTATCCCAACTTAAAACACTATTTCCCGATGGTCTTTATAGCCTCGCGCTCCGGTCCACAAAATCAACCTTACGTGCATCTGTGAAAAGGAGGCATGAGTATATAAAATTACTCAGTGGGGATACTCAAAACCGCCCCACATGCACTCAATAATGAAACAATAAATTTCAATGTTCCATTCTAACAACCTAGCATTTCCATTCTATCAAACTAGCAGTTTGTTTCCATTATTCCGTACTTAGCCATTTTTCCTATTACTTATCCATTCTCATGCAACCAAAACGAACAACCTATCACCCGGTTCTATCATTCCTTTACTTTAACTTTTCCTAACATTTCGACCCAAGGGTCCATCAACGTGCGGTCATAGCCAAACCTGTGGCCGAAGCCAACCTATGACCGGAAGGTCCATAACGGCTGAAGCCAACATACACGGCCCGAAGCCAGAAACATACTTTTCTTAATTAAATCACGTTCATCTACTCTCGTACTTTCCATAAATTATTTCAATTCTCAGTTGGTTTCTATAACATTTTCATCTTAACATTCTAATTCTGGTCGAACCAAATCTACATATTTCACATAAACATCTCAATTAAACATGACATCATTTCACGCAATCTAGTATGCAAATATCCTATGAACACATGACTTTCTTTGATCCTTGAGAACCACCTCAAAGAACGACGAACAAACTTTTTATAAACGATTCCTCTAACACATGATTATCATCCCACAAACCCACTTTAATGAAAGATATTAATTATTAAGTTGCCACTAATCATGCTCTCACCTTGGCTAAATCTCTAGGTTTCGAAGACTCTGAACTTTCTTCCGTTTTCTGGTGACGAACTTATCTGCTCTTCTCGTTTGATCCTTCTTTTTGAAATTTTTTTCTAGAACGCTGCTCTTCCTCTAACTCCGCCGATATAGCCTGTACAATTTGGTAAATGCAGTAGTTTTGTCCATTTGTGTAAATGTAGTCATATCTTAGTTATTCTTGCAACCAACCATGTGATAGTTACAATCAACCAAACTATAGAAGGCGAACAAGTTGAACGCAAGATTACAATCTCATTCAAATTCACTTAATTAGTCAAAGATGCTCGTTGTTGGATTTGGTAGTGCTACCATTCCACAAAGCACTGGAGGTTCTATACTTCGCCGTACGCCTCGATACAGCCACTGCTGGCCTTATTGGTATTTTTGGGTAGCTCCTAAATAAAAAAGGAGAAAATAAATAGTTTTCTTAAAGATTAGTTTTATGAAACTGAGAACACAACTTCTCGGAAGATAACAAAATTACTTGTTTAAACCTAAATTTCTTCACAGACAAGAAAAGAAATAGGTTTTCTAAGGCTAAAGTTTCTATTAAGGGACTTCTCATCCAAGAAAAAACAGCGTGGGGACATGTGCACTGGGGTATAAAACCCTCAACATAATTATGCTCTTTTTTGGTTTGGGGATTTGTTAGTCTTGTAGCGTCGTACTAGAACAAAACCACATGGCTAATCACTGGCTTTACCGTTTCATAGTATATTTATTGTCTTTATAAGTCATCAAAATCATCTAGTGCTCGAGGTAAGAAGATATGTGATGCGATCCAAAATTTAATAGATTACTTCTAATTTTGTGTAAATTTAAGTAAATTAGTGAAATATTTGGTCAAAATTTGGTTTTGACCCCCAAGAAAAAAATGTGTTGGAATTTTAAATAACTCACAAATGCATACAATTTTATATTATTATATTACTTTGAATATATCAAGTTTATATACTATAAGCCTCATCAGTGAACATCATCTTGATTACGTTTCTAGTAGAGTAAATGCAATTTGAAGATTCCTTAACATGTCATATAGAAAATATAATATTTGCAGTTGCAGGCTTTGCATGCTCATCTCTATAAGTATTTGCATGTGAATATAGCTAGAATCAGAGTGCAAAAATAAGAAATGAGATAGAAAAAGAGTACCTACCAATCCTTTTTTTCTTTTTTTTTTCTCACATACTCTCTAATGGCTAACATAAAACTTCTTTACCATTACTTCATAAGCCACTTTTTCAAGCTCTGCTTGCTCCCATTAGCAGCACTTGTGGCCACTAGAGCATCAAGCCTAACCCAAGAAAATTTCCAAAATCTCTGGTTCCATTTCCAGCACAACCTCCTAACCCTAACCATTTTCTTTTGGGTTTTCATTCTCGGGTCAACCATCTACTTCTTGACCCGACCTAGACCTGTTTACCTCGTCGACTACTCCTGCCATCTTCCTCCTGCGCATCAAAAGATTACAGTCCAAAAGATCAGAGATAATATCAACAAGAACCTAGAAATAAATCCTTCTCTGAGATCACTGGGCGAGGATTCGTCGTTAGACTTCTTTTATAGGGTTCTTGAACGTTCAGGTCTGGGGGAGGAGACCTACATTCCAGACGCACTTCATAGCGTCCCACCTCTCCAGACCATGGCGGCTGCACGTGAGGAGACTGAACAAGTCATCTTCGACGCCATTGACAATCTCTTAGCCAACACTAAAGTCAACTCACGCGATATCAGTATAATCATCCTGAACTCAAGCACGTTTAACCCAACTCCTTCGCTCTCAGCGATGGTTGTGAACAAGTACAAGCTTAGGAGCAACATCAAAAGTATCAACCTTGGCGGAATGGGCTGCAGCGCAGGCGTCATTGCCATCGATCTTGCTAAGGACTTGTTGCAAGTCCATAAGAACACTTATGCTCTTGTGGTGAGCACAGAGAATATCAGCCGCAACGCGTACGCAGGTGACAACAAATCTATGATTGTCGCCAACTGCTTGTTTCGTCTTGGTGGAGCTGCGATCTTGCTCTCTAACAAGCCGGGAGACAGAAGACGTTCCAAGTATAAACTGCTCCACACGGTTCGGACACACACCGGAGCAGATGACAAATCTTTTAGATGTGTGCAACAAGAAGATGATGACAAGGGCAAAACCGGAATCTCATTGACCAAAGATATAACCTCTGTTGCTGGGAGAACCATTACCAAAAACATAGCCACTTTGGGTCCATTGGTTCTTCCCGTGAGCGAGAAGCTCCTCTTTTTCAAGACTTATATACGCAAGAAGTACTTGGACGACAAGATTAAACACTATGTTCCGGATTTTAAGCGTGCTATTGATCATTTCTGTATCCATGCGGGTGGGAGAGCTCTGATTGATGAGCTTGAGAAAAAGTTGGGACTATCACAAGTAGACGTAGAGCCATCAAGATCAACTTTGCATAGATTTGGTAATACTTCATCGAGCTCTATTTGGTATGAGCTGGCTTATACGGAGGCCAAAGGTAGGATGAAGAAAGGGAACAAAGCTTGGCAGATTGCTTTAGGTTCAGGTTTTAAGTGTAACAGTGCTGTGTGGATGGCTTTACGCAATGTCAACCCTTCGGTTAATAGTCCTTGGGAACATTGCATTGACAAATACCCGATTAAGCTTGATCTTTGATTCTCTCAAAGTTAATAAGGTTGATCTCCAATATGCATGATCGCTCCACTTGTTTCTCTTCCTTTATGATATGTTGGTGAGTCTATGTTTCCTCTTGTTCGTTGTTGACTTATTAATAAATGAGAAAACTTCCATTTTTATATTAAGTAAACAAACAGTCTCACGTGGGTGAATGTGAGATTATAATAGAAAACGAAGATCATGAGAAAAGATGATAAAATGTTTCTTTGTATTCAAAACAGTTAGTTACAAAATGAGATATTTACATCATTATATAGTCAATACTAAACCAACTTATACCGGACTAAATTACATTTACAATATAATTGTATTGAACCAATCTAAACCAACTAATATCCCCCCTCAAGATGAAGGTGTATAGATGTCTAGAACACCCATCTTGGATATGAGATTCCGGAAAGGAGTTGGGTACAATGCCTTAGTCAAGACATCAGCAATTTGGTTATGAGTACGAACATGTATGGTCTTGATCATGCCGTTGTCAATGCGTTCATGAATGATGTAACAATCTTGATCAACATGTTTCGTCCTCTCGTGATAAACAGAGTTGTTAGTAATGTAGAGAGAAGCTGTGTTATCACCATAAAGATGTGTTGGTAACGACAGAGGCACCTACAGATCCTTCATGATACGAAGAAGCCATTCAATCTCGCAAGATGCATCTGCTAGTGCACGGAACTCTGCTTCTGCTGTGCTTCGAGAAACAGTGCGATGTTTCTTAGACCTCCAAGTCACTAAAGACTCTCCAAGAAACATAGCATAGCCTGTGATAGACTTTCGAGAATCAGGACATGAGCCCCAGTCTGCATCAGCAAATCCTTGTAGATCAAAATGCCATCAGCTGAATAAAAAATCCCTTGACCAACCGTTCCTTTAAGATGTCGCAAGAGTTTATAAGCTGCTTGTAAGTGAGCTTCTCGAGGTTGTGATGAGTATTGACATAACTTCGTAAGAGTGTAGGAAATATCAGGCCGTGTTATAGCCAAATACATCAAAAGACCCATCAGACGACGATAGACCTTCGGCTCAGTTAACAGAGCCCCCATCTCATGAACCACTTTGCTTCCATCCTTAGGTATTATTGTCTCCTTGGATAGACAAACAGTGGGATCAAGAGGAATAGACGATGGTTTGCATCCAAGAAAACTGTGTCATCAAGAAGCTCAAGGATATACTTTCGCTGACACACATATATACCTTTAGTAGAACGAGCTATCTCCAAGCCAAGAAAGTATTTACCCTCTCCAAGATTACGGAGCTTGAAATGTGATTCCAACTCACCAATAAACTCCTCCACTGCTCCATCGTTGTTGCTCGCTACAAGTATGTCATCCACATACACCAACACTGCCAAGTATTTAGCATTCACATTCTTCACAAACAGCGTGTGATCATCTCGAGATTTAGTGAAGCCCATCTTCATGATAGTAGAAGAAAGTTTCAAGTACCACTGCCTAGAAGCTTGTTTGAGGCCATATAGGGATTTATGTAAGCGACAAACAACATTAGGAGGGACAGAACACCTGTTAGTTCTTCATAACCAGGGGGAAGCTTCATGTAAATCTCCTCCTCCAGATCACCATTTAAGAATGCATTAGAAATATCCAACTGTGTAAGCGACCACTTCATCTTAGCTGCAACATTAATGAGGATACGAACAGTTCTGAGCTTGGCAACGGGAGAAAAAGTTTCTTGATAATCCACACCCTCTTCCTGTGTATACCCCTTCCCAACCAGACGACCTTTCTTTCTTTCTTCAGTACCATCTGCATGATATTTGGTCTTATAAAGCCACTTACAACCTATAAGCTTCTTGTCTGGTTGTAAAGGACAAACACTCCAAGTCTTGGTCCTTTCCTGAGAACCTATTTCCTCCTTCATAGCATAACACCACAACGGATCCAGTATTGCCTCTGAAAACTTTTGAGGATCTTTTGATTTGCTGATAGAATTTACAAAAAAAAGCATGAAAAATTGGAGATAGGTTGGAATAAGAGACATAATTCGTCATAGGGTAAGGAGAGAAGTTGAAGTGATATTATAACAGTGAAAGTCCTGCAATTTTGAGGGAGATTTCTTTGAACGAATAGGTATACTTCCAGAGAGAAGAGAAACCTTAGAGGATGACCCATTGTGATGAAGATGAGCATCAGATGATGTTGATTCAGAAGAATCGTCATCAGGCACAGCATGATAAGAAACATGAGGAAAGAACGATTTGACATTATCATTTAAAGATGATAAAGCAAAGGGAAAGATATCCTCATGGAAAAGCACATGCCTTGAAATCGAAACAGAGTGAGTCTCTGTATCTAGCAGCTTATAACCCTTATACCCTGAAGGATATCCTAGAAAGATACAAGCCTTAGCTCTAGGATCAAACTTAAGTCTATTCTTAGGGGATGTGCTAACATAACAAAGGCATCCAAAGGTTTTTAAGGAATCATACTCGGGTTGTTTTCCAGTAAGTTTCTCAAAGGGAGTTTTGTTTCCTAAACCGGGGAAGGCAATCTATTAATCAAGAAAACAGCAGTTAGCACACAATCACCCCAGAAATTCAAAGGGACATTGGATTGAAATAACAAAGCTCTAGCAACGTTTAGGATATGTTGGTGTTTTCTTTCGACAACAGAGTTCTGTTCAGGAGTTTCAGGGCAAGAGTGATAGGATTTAATTCCTTTAACAGCATAGAATTCTTTAAACCGTAATTCGTTTGCATTATCAGACCTAACAACTTTCACTTTAACATCGTGTTGAGTATCTACCATCTTAACAAAATTAGGGAAGATATGCAATACATCCGATTTAGAATGCATCAAGAAGAACCAAGTGGCTCTACTAAAATCATCAACTATTTTCAAGAAATATTTGGATCCATCAACAGTAGTTTCAGAAAAGGGTCCCTAAGTATCAATGTGAAGCAATTCAAACTTATTATTACTCATATTTTGTCTTTTAGGAAAAGAAAGCCGTTTTTGTTTAGCTAAGTGACAATCATGACATGTATCAGAATGATCTTTATTGCCTTTTGATAAATGGAGAACATTAGACAATGAATCTACTTTAGACATTGATGGATGCCCTAGACGTTTATGCCAAGTAATGGAATCAACAACAAGTCACACAGACAACATACCTTGATCATTAAAAGAACTATGATTTTTATTGACATCCAAGACATATAAGTTGCCTACTTGACTACCTTGACCAATCATCAATTACTTAGTAAGTTCCTGGATAAAACAATCATGCGCAGTAAAAGAAACTTTAGAATTCAAAGTATGAGTCAAAACACTGACACTCAAAATGTTGAAACGAAACTCAGGGATGTAAAGGACATTGAAAAAGGGTGATAGAATCAGTTAAGCGAATACGACCTACCCCAGCTATGGTGACAGTATAAACATTGGGAAGAGTAACATAGGTTTTATCTAACTGATTGTAATCACTAAAAAGGTTTCTATCATGACTAACATGGTGTGTGGCTCCTGAGTCTATAATCCAAGCTCTAAGAGACAACTCTGTTTCTTTTGCAATGGCAGAAACAAGAGAATCATGATAAGAATGATTATAGAGGGAAATGAAGTTACCGGAAAGGCTTCCTGTAATCTGTGAAACTACATGAGCACTAGCTGAAGTCGAGGCAGTAGATTTCTCAGGTGCAGAAGTGATGCTAGGAGTTTGGAGTTGGGAACTCAGGTAAGAGATCATGGACTGGAGCTGATCTTTAGAAAGGTTATCGCAGGAAAACTCTTCATGTTGACTCTTATCAGAGACGCTTGCTGACTGAGACACGGCCATGTTAGTAGAAGGACCAGTAGTAGGCTTCTTTCCTTTGAACATCCCAGGGGGATATCCATGCTTCTTGTAACACTTATCCACCGTATGACCAATCCTTGAACAGTAAGAGCACTTCACTTTGTGATAACTTCCTTGAGAAAGAAGAATCTGATTGTTCTCTGTGAGAGTGTCTTGCATTTGAAAGGCAGCCGGGTGATTTGTCATTCGTTGAGCTGAGCCTACAATCCTCTGGCTTTCGTCTTGGTCTAGCATGTTATAGATCTCAGTGAGGCTGGGACGAGGCTTCATGTTAAGGATTTGACCTCGAATGTTAGCAAATGTCTCGTTGAGCACCATAAGAAATTGTATGATCTTGCTAGTTTCTGCTTCCTCCATCAACTCCTTAACATGGTCACAGTTACACCTTCTTGCCGTAGTGATTCTTGTGTTAGATAACTGCTCCCAAAGCGTCTTCTTCTTTGTATAGTAAGCAGATAGAACCATAGATCCTTGCGTCAATGTAGCAATGGATTTCTCCAACTGGTAATTCCTCGAGAGGTTACTAACTCTGAATCTTGAGTACAGATCATTCCACATCTCAACATCATCATCATAGTATAAGATACTATCATAAATCTCTTGATTAATGGTATTGTGTAACCAAGCTTTCACCATACTATTGCATCTACTCCAGATCTTAAAGAGAGGAACCGTTTCAGCTGGTCTAACTAAAGAACCGTCAACAAATCCTAATTTTTTCTTTGCATCTAGACTCATCCGCATTGCGATATACCAATTGTTATAGTTCAATCCATCTAACTTCTGATTCGCAATATTCAATCCAGGATGATCAGCAGAGTGCAAGAAATAAGGACTGTTAGTGTCGATCGAGTTCATAACAGACTGATTTGATCCATGTTGAACACGGCGAGGGGGATGATCCTGCGGCGGAACAACCGGAACAGTTTCCTCATCTTCGTTAACGGAATGTTGAGATCGATTCCGATTTGCAAAAGCTTCCGAATCAGAAATGGTGCTACGAGTCCTCATCTTCCTTCCTTTTTTTGCCATTAGAGAGATCGAGATTTGAGAACGATTGGAGATCGGAAAATCAAGAATCACCGATAGCGATGATTTTTCCGATTAAAAACTTCACAAGAAGCTCAAAATCAGCTGGATTCTCCAAGAAAACGACGATTCGCGAAGAGATGAGATGTTTAACGAGAAGAAAATCAGAGATCGCGAGTTAGAATAGCTCTGATACCATAATAGAAAATGAAGATCATGAGAAAAGATGATAAAATGTT